CTTGAGCTATGACCCCAGAGAAGTCACCAAATCTGTTTGTACTGGACTTTGTAATGGGGCAGTAATTCACAACTTGCCTAGTTAGCAGGAATTACTATTTGTAAAATTCTGAATATAGTTCTTCTCGCTTGGAGCTCTCAAGCATCCTCTTTGCTGTTAAACACTAATAACTGCAGCTTATAATATCACAAAGCCATCCCACATAAATAGTTGGCAGCAAGGGAAGACGTGGGAACTTCAGGGGGCCAAGGGTTGGGGGCAGAGAGGAGATTTAAGGCGGCGGCACATCATTACCTGAGATGGACTTTAGCTTTTTTTGTAACGGGCAACTGCAAATGGCCACAGTAATTTGAGTCTCACTCCTAGCCCTCAACTAAATGCCCAGAAGGCAGAGGGCACTGAGTTAATAGAGGAGGCTACCCATTGCCGTACTCTGGCTGCAACCCTGGCCTTTGTTAGAAAACCTGTAGGCTCTATCTCCATTGTACAGGAAAGCCAGGGAAAACCTTGCAGGGAGGAGGCAGATGTAATCTTGCCTAAGGCCAGACTACCTCACAGTGGCATGCATGGTAAATCCTATAAGTGCTGAAGTTCATTAAGTAACTTAAGAACAAAGAGGATTCTACTCCCAGCTCTCCTCAACCTCTTCAGAAGAGAACAAAGGAGCTGGCCACAGTGTGTGAAAGATCAGTCCCTTTCCTGCAAGTAAATGCAAGCAAAAGAAATCCACAAGACAAGAAAATGTCTTTGGAGTTTGACTCCTGACTGGGCAACGTTCCTCGAGGAGTCCCAGCCTCTGCCATGCACAGTGAACCTGGCCTCTCTTAAGTCTCTCCCTTTCTGTACTAGAAAGCAGGCATCTGAATGCTAAAGGGAGCTGAGGGAATGGCATTCATCAGGAAATTCACACTGTTTTTAGAATAAGCTAATTGCCTGTATAATTTTATTTATTCACCCAACGGCAGCACCAGACCGCTGCAGACTTGAATTTCTAATGTATTGTAACATAGCTCCCCTTTCCCGGTACAACACGAGCTATTTGGTGTAGGAGAATGGGGATACCGGGGAAGTCTGCAAGCTAGTCCGTGCCAGGCATCCTTGGTGCAAGTTTGAGTGGTCTGAGGAATGAATGCTCCAACTCATGCCAGCTGGCTTTGATCTCCATGGGACCACACAGTAACTAAGAAGTGGTAGAGCACAGCTGTGTCTGGTTCCCTTCTTATGTTTTACCCCTGGGGCAGTTGGCAGAGGAGTCACTACTATGTTGTCTTTACACCAGCTCAGAGCTACTGTTTGCTGGGGGACTCTCGACGGCTACCATGAGACACCGAGTTCTTCTAGCTACCAAAGCAGGCAAAAACTTGCCTCTATATTCTTGCACCTCTGCTGACTTCTTTTAGAGATGGTATTTGCTGGCTCTCTATTCACACAAAGTACCTCCTGTCCCCAGACACTGTAATTTCCAGCACTATTTTTTCAGAACTGATTATTGTAGTTACTGTTCAGTACTTCTATTACACTACTACCAAGACATCCCATTCGGGATTGGGGCTACAATGTTAGGTGCTGCACAAACATACGCAGAAATAGTGTTCTACCCAGGAGAACTTATAGGTGCAATTTATTTTGGGAGCCAAAGCTTTTTGCATCTTAATTCAGCCTAAAAAGTGTGTGCAGGAAGTCACATGACTAAAATGTGCAGTTGCATGTGCAGCACAAATTAATTGTGTGTTACCATGTGCAAACCACCACCAGTGGTGGTTTGCATGGTACGCGCAAATGTAAAGTTTGTGTGCACACTTCCATCCTGGCATAATTTGTAGAAAAGACTCACCAAGCAAGAGGCTGGGGTTGAAAATACACCTGGAAATTTTCAGTCCACAATGTGAACCTATGAATCTAGGGAATCTTGGTAGTGGAGCTAAACTAGGCCCCAAATCCAAAGCACCTCCTCACCTGGGAAAACACTTGATCTAAATGCTGTGCCCCTCTCTAATAATGCATGCAGGTCAAGGGCTGAAAATGTGTCCCTAGCTGCGATTCTCCTGGGCTCAGATACTCCCAGTGGCTTTCACATAGTTAAGATCTTTTCAACACACTGAATTTCTGTCATCGGGGAAAAGGGCCTTCTGCTGAAGTTTGTCCAACAGTCCACATTCACTAGCTTCACTCATGTTTAGAAGTACATGCTCACAAACAATGGTATTGTTCACTGCCTGGATCACCACTCCACCCAGTACCACTAACAGCCTGGGACCAGCTGTGGAACAGCCCAGACATTATAGACCGAACACGTCCCAGTAGAGTCCCTTTGGATTTTATTTGTAAAACAACGTGCTTCTCAGCTGAGACCTTTCCTGCCTGCGTGCAGCCTGAAGCTACTTTCTGCAGTTGAGATAGAAAGCGGTATAAATACCATAGGGAGTTATAATGGCTGACACAATATTAACTACAGCGTTGCAGCTAAACGGTGCCACTGTCATACCCGAGGGCTTCCCTCCGACTTGGCTGCAGGACTGGAATTTTTCTTGCATTGCAAACAGACAGACAAACAAGCAGTAGATAAGCACTCTCCCTACCTAGGAAAAGCAAAGCGAGACAGAGAGGTGAGCGAGTGAGTGCCTGTGTGCATGTGTATATATACACATGGGCATGTGTGCAGGGCCAATGCACTGAGTCATTTCTTCTTTTTTCATCCTAGCCATTAGCTGTCATTATATATTGCTATCCAGAATGTGTTTATGATACATTACAATAGCTGGTTCCTACACTGTATCCTGCCAGTTATGGTATAATAGAAGATGGAAAAGCAGGAGCGGCAGAAACAGCGTGTCGTGGACTGAATCAAGAATCCAGAGCCACCCCGCATGGAAACGCATGCTCCAGTTACAACAGAGTCTGTCAATCCCGAATCAGCCACGGCACCCAGATTCAGGCCCGCATATAAGACCATCATAAAAGACAATCATCCTCGACTGTGAGAGGTTGCCAAAGACCAGGTATGGGGCTGGCTCCATGTCTTCCCCAGTCCATTCCTCTCAATTTTCTTATCTTAAATTTAAAGGCATGCTCTCACCAAACAGCCACATGGCAGCCTTGTCTCATCTGGAACGGGGCCTGAAATTGCACCTGAGTCTGTAGCCAACCCTCACCCCAGGTGGCTTTGTGTTGGATCTACAGCCTGCCCGAAACTTTCATTCTGCTTTATAATTCCAACTGAAATGCAGAAAGAGAAATTCAAATCAAGGAAGCGCAATAATATCTGAACCTGGCTGCTCATCAGCACATCACCCCTTAAAGAGCCAAGGCCTTTATTAAAAAGATATGAAACAAAAGTGATTTTTAATTTTATTGGGGAGACAAAGTCATTGCCAAAGACAGCCTGTGGCTAGATGAGATGATCAAGTCAAGAGGGAGAGCAGCGAAGCACTCGCGCAAATATGAAGCTAATATCTTTTTTACTCTTAGGGAAAGTGCTGTTCAATTTCTGGTGCTGCAGGCATGTGCAGCTTGAGTGGAAATGTAGAGAAATTGTATCCACCTGCTTCCATTCCCCACATCAAGAACCAGACCCTCAGTTGATGTAAATCGGCTCACTTCAATGCAGCAGAGTGGATTTACGCTGGCTGAGGGCTCAGTCCCTAGCCTTACCCAGCAGAGTTAAAGCTTCAAAAACAAATGAAAATGAGCCCCTTAAAAATCTATTCCCACTCACCACACTCAAGGAAAAAACCCTAGTGCAGTAGGACAGCTTTATTGCAGCTATACTGCCAAATATCAGCCCGTGCTGTGTTCTGTGTAATGGAAGATGATATACCTTTCCATTATTTTAAAAGTACTTAGCTAAATGAGTGGCCTTGGTTAGCCTCTTCTTCATATGAGTTGGTCTTTGAGAGCTTTCCCTTGGAGAAATATTCTATCTGTTTACTTGGATGTGTTCAAACTACAACGGGGCAGCAGCCCAAGGATCTGAGTCCACAGTCCATCTCTCTCCAGCAGAGAACTTACCTTTAGGAATCTGGTCACCGGCCATTAACTTCAAGGACATTTTAGTGTGTAAGCAAACACACATTTAAACACTTTGCTAAATTGCAACCCCAGTCTTTACGGGCCTCTGATGCATCTTATATGAACAGAAAAGACATAGTGTATTGATTGTTATACTTCTTTTGCCAGGGTTTTCTCAGAACTAGAAACCCAGATCTGAAGTAAGACTAAATCCCATTCACCCTCTACACACAAATAATGGATTTGCAGGAGTAAGTAAATAGGGCCAGGCCATAACAGAGGATCTGAAACATGCCTTGTTTATGCTAAGCACGGACAACAATGAAGATGTGTGTGCATGTCCTACACAGGTTACATACACAAGGCTCCCAGACCTGGGACAGAAGTTCAATAAATGAATTTAACCTAAATCAGTCAGGTCTGATACTACATCCTCCCAGGTTTATCTTAAACCAGTTCTGGCCATTTTGAAAGTGGTTTGTGTGCACTGAACTTCTGTTGTGTTACAGATTTGAACCAGTTTTGAATCATTTATACCCATTTATGTGTAATTTCTGTCCCTAGCCTCAGTGAGGGTGAGTGAGATTGCCAAATGTGGAAATATTCCAAATGTACTTTGGTATCTTCCAAATCAGGCCAGTACGCCCAAAAGCTATTACCACATTTTATTCCATCACCTCTCCGCTGTGCAGGAAACTGTGCTGTCTCTTTATGCTGTTCCCTCCATGCTCTGTACTGAAGGATTCTCCTTCCAGTAGCCTGACGAAGCCTGCCCTCAATTAGGCAGGTACAGAGTGACAGTGCTGTAACTGATCTAGATGGGGGGTACCTCTGGGCCTGGCTCAGTTTAGCATCATGGCAAGAGGCAATATTAGCTTCCCAAAGCCTGCAACCTTGTGAAGTTTTGCAAGTACAGACACAAAACAGTTTGCGTGTGATTGTGAAACTGAATATACCTGTACGACTGTGAGTGATGTCAGCTTCCCCAAGCTGCCTGCTGCCTTCGCTATAGAAATTCCAGGGTAAAGTATCAGCAAGGCATGTTGTTGCATGCTCATTCCCTAGACAAAGAAAGGAATTGACTCAAAGGCTGTTTTTCCCCCCTTTACTGGCTTTTAGGGCTGGGCAGCTGCTGCATAGTATGAATAGAGGCAACCCAGGCTGATTAGATTCAGAGGACTTTAGGAAGGGAAACAGAATCATAGAAAAGTGGGGCTGGATAGGGTGGTCATCATAGAAGACAGTCCGGTTGTACTCTGTCCTCTATTGATACGAAACCCAACGCCTTTATGTCCTCCATTTTTCTCTTCAAGGTGTCCGTGACATAAAGGTGTCCGTTTTCATATCAATAGAGGACAAAGTAGCAGAAAACCAGGATGTTCTCTATGATGGCCACCCTAGGGCTGGAAAGGAGCTCAGGAGGTCACATCTAGTCCAACCCCCTGCTCAAAACAGGACCAGCCCCAACTCCATCATCCCAGCCAAGGCTTTGTCGAGCCAAGTCTTAAAAACCTCCAGGGATGGAGAGTCCATCACCTCTCTGGGTAACCTGTTCCAGTGCTTCACTGCCCTCCAGGTGCAAAAGTTTTTCCTAATATCCAGCCTCAGCTTCCTTTGCTGCAACTTGAGCCCATTGCTCCTTGTTCTGTCATTTACCCCTACTGAGAAGAGTCCAGCGCCATCCGCTTTGCAACCCCCCTGCAGGGAGTTGAAGGCTGATATTAAATCCCCCTCAGTCTTCTCTTCTCCAGACTCAGTAAGCCCAGTTCATAGATTTCATAGACATTAAGGCTGGCAGGGACCTTGGAAGATCACTGAGTCCAGCCCCCTGCCCCAGGGGCAGGAAGCCAGCTGGGGTCAAAGGATCCCAGCAAGATAAATGTCCAAACGTTCATACGTCATGTCCCCCAACCCCAGCACCATTTTTGTTGCCCTCCACTGGACTCTCTGCAATTTGTCCACATCCTTTCTGTAGTGGGGGCCCAAAACTGGGCACAGGACTCCAGATGTGGCCTCACCACTGCAGAATAGAGGGGAAAGGGGTTTCCCTGGGTGGCAAATGCTCCGAAGATGGAATAAGTTCACAGGAGACCTCCTGGTAACTAATAGTGAAGGGATTTGCACATATATTTTGATACCTGCAGTGTCTCTTTTCTAGTAACTGACCTGGCACAGGGAATTGCTGACCGCCTTTTGGTAGAAAAGTATTGGCTTTTCATGTATACCACAGGGATGGGCCCCCTTTGAAAAGGGACGGACAGATAGACAGATCAATTGATAAGTCTGTGATACTACCGGATCAAGAGTTTAAATCAGGCAAGATCACCAAGACCTGCAGATCACTTCTCCCATCTGATGGCTCTTTCGTGATTACATGAAACATTTTGGAGAAGGTTGAATTCAGGTCTCAGTAGCGGCAAAGCCACAATGACACCCCACTTCTCAGGTGACGGATGGAAGAGAGATGCCCAGGGCTAAGTGGCCACATACTCTTGCTCTTGATTCATGCCAGTACAGCTGGCATGACTGCAAGGGAGTCCTGACTGCTGCCAGAGCCCTACCATCTTTCCCTTCCTCTCGCAACCAGGTCGGGCCTGGCTGGTTTGGGGATGCTGATGATGTTCTGCTCTGAACTGTCTCTCGCATATGCTGATGTGCATTGGGAATACCCCCACTGGACTCAGTAGAGTTACACCCATATAAAACCAGTGCAAAGGAGGTCAGATTTCTCCTTGCACCTGCCCCAGCACTGGAAGAGAACTGTCCATTGCTTACCTGGAAGGTGGGGGGGGGAAAGACTTCCCATTCAGCTCAGAGGGAGGAATTTCCTTGGGTCCCTATGATGCTGGAGCCTTTAAAATCCCTTCCTTTGCATGTTCTATGTCTAGATGCAGGGCTTTGGTCCCCAGAGACATCACTGCAGAGTTTTTCAGCTGGAATGAAAGGAAGTCAATTTTAAACAAACTAAAATGAGAGGCTGTTAATTGTGTGAGGTCTCCACTCTCT